GAGAGAGAGAGAGAGAGAGAGAGAGAGAGAGAGAGAGAGAGAGCCGACTATACGATCAGCAGAGGTTGGTAGATAGATAGATAGGTAGAGACAGTTAGGTGGGTAGGTAGGTAGGCATACACGAGTCAGTACCTGATTCTTCGATGGCAAGCCGCTCCATCAGCCACTCGATGAGGTCGTAACCTGCAACACGCAGGCAGCCTACTGTAGTGTCCTGGCCGTGATGGCCGCTTACGCTTACTCCACAACGCAGGTACCGATGGCACTCACCCATGAACGCTGAGGGGATCGAGGTGAGGAACTGTTTCTGACTTCGCACGGGTACCCCGCTCTCAGGGTCTTGCATCTCTCGCACCAGCCCCTCCATCTGTGTACGCGAGAAAATAAAGGAAAGAGTGAGAGAGAGAGAGAGAGAGAGATTAACCACGCGTGATTAATTGTCGATCGTTGTGTTCGAGAACGGCGCGTCGAAACGCGGAAACTTGGCGACGATCTTGTAATTATTCAGAAGAAAGAAATTTGGTTGCATTAACGTGAAATTCCATCTTAATGAATGAACCAACGGGTTTGGAGAACACAGAATTTCTACGAGGTTCTTATGACCAAAATTTGGGGGAAGAGGGGAATTCTAAAACCAAAAATTCCATTTCTCCTTCAGACATAAATACGTATTAGTTTGTTCATTGTAATGAAACTTCATGTTAACAAACAAATTGCATGTACAATGTATACAATCAAATTTCTTTTTTCGAATACTATTATTAAGAGCTCGAATAGACGAGCCACTTTGTGACAAAGAAGCGTCACAGGCCCATACAAATGAGCTATTTTGTGGCGCGACAGAGAAGCGCTTCAGAGTAAGTATGCAACAGTACAAACCTGTCGCAAGACCGGAAGAACATGGGACACAAGGTTTCAGTGCAATATAGAATCCTTATAAATCATTCTGAAGCGCTCCGCGACGTTACAAAGTCGCAGGTCTGCATGGATCTGTGGCGCTTCTCTGTGGCGCCATAAAAGCAGCCCGTCCGCACAGGTCCTTCGTAGCGCCAGTTTCTCTGGAGCGCCACCAAGTGGCTCGTCAGTTCGAGCCCTAATTATTAGTCGTCTGGCGAACCCGATACCGACCTTGTCGAAGGCGCAAGGCCTGTGAACGCGTGGCTCCTTCTCTTTCTGTTGTTGATTGCTAGAGGAGGCCTCCATCGCGATCGAGGCGGCCCTCTGCGTCGCTGGCAGGAGCAGTGGCGATACCGATGGCGGAGGGGGCTGGGGAGCTGGGCCGGAGACGGGTCTACCCGAACTCCATGGGGCTCTGGCCCCATCCCATCACTCCAGTCACCCCCGCACGCCCACTGAAACATCCGATAGATCGTTTCCTCTCGTTATTACTTTTATCTCGTTCTCCTCTCTACGTTCGCGGCAGCTCGTGAGGTTTTCGCTTCGTGAGAGCCCCCTTCTTTTTCATCGTCGAGGCAACGCAATTATCGCGTCCTCGGCGATGTGATTGTCATCTCTCGTCGCGTGCGTCATCCCCTAATATAGACGGGATCTTCCTCTTACTGTATTATCAGTCCTGTCATCGAGACACGATATCATCATCGACCCGCCTTGACGCTCAATCTGGGACCGACGTCGAGGCGGCGGCGACGGCGATAGTGATGGAAGGGAGAGGGGGGCCCGCACAACTGTGAGAGAACCCTCGCGAACTTTTGAGCCGCTGTGTCTCTGAATGGAATCTACACGCAGCGGAGTTGCTCGCTTTTCTGACAAGTAAATTTAATCAAAAGCTACACTCCGATTTCTTTCTAATTTGATACAAATGTAGAAGTACAAAAAATATTTAGGTCATATTTTTTCATTTTGACCTACTTTGAGTTTCACGGGCAGTTTATAGCTTTTAATGTTAAAATTTTTTATGTAATGCTTTTTCTCACTCCTATCATCATCAATCCTATCATCAACAAATACAACAAAAATACATAAAAAATAAAATTGAATACAAGATGTAGTTAAATAATTTTAACAAAATCGACATAGCTGAGAGACAAACCATTCTAAATTTCTTTAGCCAAGATTCCAACTGAAATATTTCAAATCTGTGTTAAATTAGTCGAAAATGGTTCGAATCTCGGTCAAACCGAGCGAGAGAAATCCGGAAATTTTAATTAAAATTTTAACAAAATCGACATAGCTGAGACACGAATTATTCTAAATTTCTTTAGCCGAGATTCCAACCGAAATATTTCAAATCTGCGCTAAATTAGTCAAAAATGGTTTGAATCTCGGCCAGACCGAGAAATTATTTATACAAAAGAATTTTTTCAGCTTTTTACATGTTTTGCTTAAATATTTTATTTATATAAATAATTTATTTATATAAACAATTTTACACAGTTAACTTCATATTCATATTCAGCAAACTAAAAACTATATTTTGTATTCAATTTTATTTCTTATGCATTTTTGTTGCATGATGGGAGTTGATGATAGGATGAGAACATTAAAAAATTACAAACTGTCCGTGAAACTCAAAGTGGGCCAAAATGAAAAATATGACTTAAATATTTTTTGTACTTCTATATCTGTGCCAAATTAGAAAAAAATCGGAGTGTAACTTTTGGGTAGGTTTACTTGTGAGTCGCGCTCAGAAGGGTAGCTTAACCGCGCGGTATAATTTCGAATTCACCTCTCTCTGTTCCCTTCCATTTAATTATTCCCACCACTCGTTTACGCGCATGCAACCCGCAATTAGTCGAAAGCGTTCTTGCAAATAGGTTATCGCCGATTATGTTGCCGATTGAACGGCGGCTTAGAGTAAGAGAGACCGGAACTATATAGCCCCAAGAGTATGTGGCTCATTCTTTAGTATTTATCTTGAGAGGAATCGTGGACACAAAATCGCGAAATAACTCTTTTAGAACATAAATATTTTTCCCTGAGTTTTATTAAAATCGGAATAATATTACAGTTAAAGAAATAGAAAAAACTGATATGATAATAAAAACAAAATAAATTTTCCATTTTCTTGAAATTTTGTATTAATATTCTCCATCGTGACTGAAGAAAATTAAGCAATGTGTTACTAGCTAGAATGAAATTTCTTGCAAGTGTATGATATACTGTTTCTGGTAATAAAAACAATTTTTATTCATAAAATGATTGAAATAGAGTAATAATCCGCATGGGCGGACAAGGTAAAGTTGGCCTATAATTAAAGGCCGGCAGGAGGATTGTGAAGAACTCTTATTGAGATTCTGAAACTACTAATTATAATACATATTCTATATATGGTCTTCTTATCCTACGCTATTGGACAACTGAACCTGGTGTCAAGGCAAGATGGCCATGTTACTGCCATGTTCATATTTTGATTATTACAAAATAAAATATACGGTTAACAGGGTTGTGGTGCAGAAATTCCGATTGAAGTAACCCGAATTCTGTTTAAGTTAAGAAGATTTTTGGTTGGCTAACCAAACATGTCTGGTAATTTAGTTAGTCAACCAAAAATCTTGTTAACTTAAACAGAATTCGGATTATTTCAATCGGAATTACTGGATCGTTCATATTCGACCAGACATTTGGTTAATTCAACCAAACCTTTTTTTCCGTGTGGGCATTAATACATAGAAGAAGATTGCCTTAATCATGTTTATATAGTCAGTCATAACTTAATCAGTTGTCTAAAAAGTTGCAACTTCGAAATTCTAAAATATAGGCCATTTAGCCCCTAATACCGCCGCAATTGAAGAATTTCTCCCGAATCGGCGATGTTCGTGGCGAGAATTCGTCGAATCGCCCGTCGAAATATTTTGCTCCGAATTTATCCCCCCTCTTTTCGCAGCTTTTAATTCTTTTTCCAGTTTTACGATCGACGCTCACCGCGTCGGCGGTAACGAGCGCGCGGTCCGCTGTGCTCGTTATTTATGAAGACGCATCGGATTTAGAGAAGCTGACACAGAAATATCTACGCTCGCGGGGAACGATCCGGTATTAAAGCGCCCCGACGGCGTTCCCGCGCGTCGCGTGTATTCAAAGTTTACAAATAAATAAGGCGTCGCGTCGAGTCGAGCAGGCCATTTAGCTCGAATAAAAGAGAGGCCGGTGCTGTGACGCATTGCGCTTCCGCCTCGGAACTTCCGTCGGCCGTGCGACAATAACAAACGATATAGTTCACAGCAAACTGCAAAACGGTCGGGTCGACGCTACAAAAAAGAAGAAACCTGCCGTCCCCTTAATCCACGTTCGTTTGTGTGCTTTGGCTTTCGCGCGCGCACGGCCGCACAGATCAAGATTTACTCTATTATATGGCAGTTTCTCTCAGTCGCGATGCTTCCGCGCAAATCCGCAAAGCGTATCCTGCGAAATATATCGGGAAACTCGTAAGACACAAAATATAATCTCGGCTCTACGCTCGACTTTACCCCTCCTCACTCTTCCTTCCTGTGTTTTTCTTTTCCCGCGGAGAAGGCTCTTCGGTCAGAGAGAGAGAGAGAGAGAGAGAGAGAGAGAGAGAGAGAGAGAGAGAGAGAG